ATTGCATTTTTAATGAAAAACTAATATTAATAATAATGAGGGTCATGACACTTATGCACATTTATTCACACATACATATAGACACATGGACACTTCAGCAGAGAGAGTGATTTAGTTGTTGACCTTGTGGATGCAAAAAGGAGAGTTGAAGCCCAGTGACCCATATAGACTGGAGGAGTTGTTTTGGGTGGCGTCTCTCTCCTTTCCCCCTCCCTTCATCCCTCCTTTCCTGTCTGCCTCGGCTCCCTCTCGCTTTCTACTCCACTTATCAGCTGAAATAAGTGCCGTCATCAGAGACTGGGATTGATGGCAATCCCAGCATGCACCCTTCTACATTATTTAAACCTGGAGTGGACATCAAGATTTCTGCTTTTGTCTTCTAGTCTTCAGCTGTCAGAGGTCTCAGATCTGTGATTCCTGTTGTGTCATTTAACTAAGCTCCAGCGTGGAAGTCCGACAATTTGAAAGATTTGAGCTCCACCGCTGTATCTCAATAGCCCAGTCCCAAAGAAACTGGATTTTGGCTTCACAGCCATGCGAATCGACACGCAAAACCAGATGCACAGACTGAGAGAAAGTGAAAAAGAGAGTGAGCTATTCACCTCAGGGCTGTGGGGGAAGAGTTTGAACAATGTCTCCCTAGGGGGGTGATATTTTATAGTTTGTGTCCATCAGTGGCGTGGCCCGGGGCGCTGGGGTTGACAGTAAGTGCTCTCAACACCGCTGACACTGATTCGTCTGAGCTACGACATACATGAGACGAGGGGAGGGGGGTGAAAGAGGACGAACGAGGCAAAAAAAGAGAAGGGTGTCGAGATGACATCTTAGAGCCCTGAGTGCACGACACGGACTTTACCTTTTCATCCGCACGCGCGAGACCTTTGTGTTCGTGCGTTTGTTGGTTGGGCCGCATGGTTTGAGAGCAGACCCTCCAATCTAACATGGCATTTCAATTTCTCCTTCACTCCACCTGCTCCGTTCCCCTGCTTCTACATTTATATAGAAGAGGAAGACTGCGAACCCCGGGCCCTCAGGATACGCATACTAAGCAATCAATGTGTCACCTCTTCTTGACAATCCTTTTTTCCCCCCATACAGAAGACCTGCTCATTTTTTCTTGTCAGCAGAAGGTAATTTGCTGTATTGTGATTCGGCCCAATAGCTGGGTGATGGAGGTGCATGATGGGTCCGCACCCAAACCCCCACCGTCCCGCTCACACGCGTTCTAGACGGCCTCCTCGGCTCGAGCGGAGGCACCCAACCCAGAGCCACATCTCCATCTGAGGCTGTTAAATGTGACAAGCGTGTGGCACAGGGGCCTCTGATTAATAAAAGATGGGGCTGCTCCGAGCTCCCAGGGGGATGTCCTTTCTGAACCGACCCGCCCCGCGCGTGCACAGACGCTCTACACAATGCCTCTTGCACCCGCACAATAGACAGGAAATGGGGAGCAAGAAGCAATCATGGAAATATAACATTTGAAACGTCTGCGTCCTGTGCCCCTCGCATCTCGCACATGTGCATTAGAATGGACAGCGATTCGCATTTTGAAAAGCCAAAAATATGACTAATATATTCACATATTTGAGAGATACATATGTGAGACGGGACGTCTGATACCCTGCTGTTTTGGAGCACAAAAAGCACATTTTTACTTTTATATATTCAGATTTTGAACGCGTGCACTGATGCAGTGATGTTTTTATTGTTGATCTATATTGAAGAAAGGGACATTACATCCGTTTGCATATTTATGGGGGAAAGTGTGAGCGATCCGGACGCTTCCATGCAGTGAAGCTGCGTGGAACCGTGTCACCTCTTCACTCATTGACATGTAATGGCTTTGTTACCAACAGACGCTTTGTCCTTATTCTCCTCATGTTTACACAAAAAGACAGCATAACCCTGGTTGCCCATGGAGACCAGAGAGACATCCCCTTTTCTCCCTTCCTTCTTGGCACTTGAATGTCTCAAATTTAGATGATTCATCCTCTTTATTTTTGGTTTCAAATGAAAAACCACAAATATAATCGTAAGGACACACGTCCAATCTTTTTTTGCGAAATTTTGCTAAATTGCATAGCTATTCCTCAAATAACACAGCATAAACCTAAACACACACATATGTACACACACAAATGCTCATCAAACCAGTACCTCAGCCTGGTAGCTTGTCGTTTTTCTCTTAAGACTCTTGAATCTGTGCAGTTGCTGCTCTTTTGTAGACGCTGCGTTTATCTTTTCATAACCACGCCCCCGCCGCGGGACCAGACAATAGCAGGACGTTTCTAATTTTCTGCTGGATAATGGCAGTCATGCTAAAATGAAATAGGTCAGAGGTCAGTTTTGCTGGATGTGATTTCTGGGGACATGGACCTTTCCCATTTCATAAATGCGATGCTTTAATTCGATTCCATTGAGTATTGTCTTTTCAGAATGACGTCTGAGAAAATAGCTCATTCTTTGAATGAATTTCACATGACAACATTATGAATTCAGTTTTGCGACCAGCATTTTGGAATTGTATGTCAACCTTTGAGTTTATTTACTTATTCTGTAATGAGTGCATCCAGATACGATGCAGCTGTGCATGTGCGCTTCTGATATTCATGTGACTGTGTCCCTTTTGACCTCATCAGCGGGTTCCTCCCACTAGCCTCAGCTGAAATAGATTGATATAGCCGGCGCATGAATATGTATGCAATATGCACATTGACTTGAACTTGGTTTTGACCTTTGTTTCCATAAACAATATACATATACAAACATGAGCCATCGGCTTCACTCTGGACAACTGAGGTACATAAGATTTTTCCATACATTATTATATATATATGTATATATTTTTTTTCCTTTTCAGTAGCACAAAAAAAAAGTGTTGACCTGCACTTTTCTTTTCTTTTTTTTTTTTTTTTCTTTTTTGCCAGCAAACTATAGTATATACACTAACCAAAACAGATGGCAGTTACTCTAAATAAAAATAATTCTTGGCTCTAATGAATATTATTGGCAAAAATGTAATGGCAATACGTGTACAATGTAATGGAATTCTTTACACTTTGACAAAATCTAAAATCTAACAACAATTATTGCATAATCTAACTATAAAAAAAATATAAATTTATTGTGAAATATAAGGGGTGTTACTGGCAAAAAAAATAATGTCAATTATGTGTTAAACCTAATAAAATACATTATTCATTCAATAATTATTGCAATTATTTGCAATACTTGTCAAAATGCAATAATGATTAATGATAAAATCAAATGGCAAAATCTAATGCTCATTATTGGTTAAAAAAATCGAAAGGCAATCCTTGGCAAAAAAAAAAAAAAAAGTCAAGTAGTGGAGAACATTTCATGACAAATTCTAAAATCTAACAATAGTTACTTTGATATTTTAATTGCAAAACTGAATGGAAATTCCAGGTGAAATCTAATGGATATTACTGGCAAAAATCAAATGGCAATTATTGCCAATTCTTGACAAAATCCAACGGCAACTCTAATGCAAATTATTGGTAAAATGTAATGGCAATTTCTGGTAAAAAAAAAAAAAAAAGCAATGGCAATTAGTGGAAAATGTTTCAAGACAAATTGTAAAATCTAATGACAGTTGTTGGATATTATTGGAAAAAATCCAGTGGATATTGTTGGCAAAAATCCAGTGCCAATTATGTGTGAAATCCAATGGAATTAAAGCCAAAAAAATGAATGGCAATTGTTGGGAATTCTTTACAAATTCCAATGGCAGTTCTAATGCAAATTATTGTAATATTATTGGCAAAAATCTGTCAAAAAAAAATGTCAAATCTAATGGTGTTCATGCCAAAAAATTAACGGCAATTCCTGGCAAAAAAAAAAAAAAAAGTTATAGCAATCGGTTAAGAACATTTCATGACAAATAACAAAAACTAACCTCAGTTACTGGTTGCTGTAATCATAAAACAGTATGAAAATCTTTAAAAAAATCTAATAGCAATTTAGATATCTGTGCTGGCGTGAGACTCCATTTCCCAGAGAGCAGCACAGGAGAGGAGGTGGGGTTGCCGTACTCTCTTAAACTGCTGCCCTGGAAGGTCATTGCTCACAGTCATGTGAGAGGCCAGTGTGGCCCCTTGGGCCCTATGACAAACAGGGCTGCAGTGCTGAGGTGTGTGTCAGGGGTGTTTTTCCACAAAGCATTCTATAAAAGTGTAACCACTCCGTGTTTGCCCTTTCCTCCCTGTACGCACGCACTGCTCAGCCAACAGGCCCCTAAAGAGCTCTTAAGAAATGCTGAGCCAACACACAAGCCGGCCCTGCTAGCAACTCTAGTAATTCTCTTTCTCGCTCTTTCTTCCACTTTTCTGTCCCACGTTCCCTCGCTTGTGCTGAATCACGGCAGACTGCGACCGCCTCGGAGGGGAGAATGGTGCTTGTTTAGGACCTGAAGCTAATTATGGAGCATTAGAGCAGGGCTAAATAAATGTGTAATGTTGCTAATTGTGTGCCAGTGAAAACAATAACTCTACAACAGATGCCCAAGGGCACAGGGGGGTGAGAGGCTCTGGGAATAGAGGGCCTTGGCAGGGGCCATCAGCGGCCCCTCCTCCAACCCTCCTGCTACCTCACCAATGATCTGTGCCAGCAGCACTGAGAAACACATGCAACCTGGCATCAACAGTTAGCAGTCAAGCTGTTTCTACATGTGCGTATGTGCTTCTGAGCGTGCGAGATAGAGTTCCCATGATTCCCAAGCTGACGTTGCGCATGCAAACATGCACCGCAGCAACAGCAGCAATCTGTCCCTGCCACCTTCACACATCGCTGCATTAATAAACATGAATTAGTAATAGCACATTTAGACCAGGTCTGGGTGCAGAAAATGTGAGAGCACAAGCTCGCGCCTCTGAGAAGCTCTGTCACTCAATTCCTAATACTGTCCCAATGCAGCTGTTTCTTTTATGTCTCACACGTCTTTCTTTGTATTTCTGTATGTCTGTGTGTCTGTGTTCTAGGTTTGGATCCACTCTGTGACGGGAGACAGCGTTTGAACGGTGCACACTACTGGATCTCCGGTGGCCTGCCGGTACGTACGCCCACTCCCGCACAGATTTCCCAGCAGCACCTGAGTGAATGAGGCTAACATGAGTCTTTACACCCGTTTAGACCGCACACAGGACATGAGTGACAGCGTCACATCACAACTTCTCCTATCAAATCGGAACTAGAGATCCAATCACACTCTATTCTACTACAAAAATGGCAGGGAATCTGAAAAACACACTCGCGTTTGAACTTACAGTGGCCTCTCAGGTCTTTACCCCAGTGTTTAGATAAGATTAGCCTATCTCTCACAGACAGAAATTCCGCGATGAGTAGCAAACATATGAGTCTGAACTGTTACAGCTGGTATGTGCTTAACACACACAGGTGGACTGCAGACTGCCTGTCTCAGGGCCAAACCGAGGCTCCCTCAGCAGGACTTACGCACGCACATTGCAACGGAATCTCCTTGTAATCCAGTCGTAATGTAGTGCTAACTTACTGGCAGACACACACTGCCAGAGGCTCTTATTGATCATTTTATTCACACACAGTCCTGCACTCACAGGTGTGCACATATACTCTATTGTGGCCCACTGACATATTTGTCTGTTGCAACACTAGCCTAAGGAAGTTAAATATTTTCGTACTACCCCTTTTCCTTGTTTCCTGTACCCTGTTCCCTTTTTATTCTCTCATTCATCCATTGTTTTTTTATTTTTATTTTTTTGTTCCTTTATTGATTGTGGCATTAGCACAGATTGCTAATGATCCCTTCGTTTTGAAGCCTTACTGCATCACAGTCTCAAGGGAGCCGTTTTTGTTGTGTTTTTACTAATTGCCATAATTTATTGACTTGTTAAGGTTTCCTGACCAATTAATTGTGCCTTTTTCTCTCATTCTTAACAAATACATGGCTCGCCCTCCTTAAAATAAAAGGACAGGATTTGCGGATCTGAAAGTATAGAATGAGGTCATTCCTTTTATGAAAAGTAGAGCTTGCACATAATATTTGTTTTCCTTTCCTAACTAAAAAGTATACATATCATTCTTCTCTAGAAATATACTATATATATCCAACATTAAAAAATGCACAATAATATATTTTATTTGCTGTGTTCTCCATCTTTGAAAGATGTCAGTGGATGAAACCCACAGCCTAAGTTTGAGTCTAAATTTAAGATATAAACTTCTAGGTGCGTATAAATAAAGTGCTTTTGGTATTTTGAGCCACAGCACACCTCAATTTCCCTAATTTAGCACCTACTGCAATGAATCAGGTGCGGGTAACATAATCTCGCTAATAAGCTGCGGTGTGTCTGTGTAACAACTTAAAGAAATAGTTCAGCCAAAAATGAAAGTGCACCCTCATTTTGATTCAAATCTGTATGACTTTCTTTCTTGCATGGAACACAAAAGGAGATATTTAGCAGAGTGTCCAAGCTGCTTTTCTCCATACAATAAAGGTGGATGGGGACCAAGGCTAACAATGGTGATCATTCACTTTTGTAGACTGGAGAAAAACAGCTTAGACCTTCTGCAAGATAACCCTGCTAGAAAGTCATATGGGTTTGGAACAATTTGAGTAATTATTGACAAGTTTTGGGTGAACAAAGTTTCGATCATAATCACAGTCCAATGTTGTCTCCAACTCCGTATTATAGGTCTTTATATCATTGTGTCTCGTTTAGATCCATGTTTCAGATGCTAGTTGGCAACGCAGGGCACTACAGCCAGCATGATGTCATGCCAGAGGTGTACACCTTAAATGTGTGTGTTAAAGTGAACATTTCCATTACACAAAGGTATTCAACAGAAATAGAAGACAGGGCTTCATTCTCTTGGTTTTAAATTGTGGGACTGATTGGTGATCAGTGGTCTGACATCCTGCATCAATTCTCTTCATTATGGCCTGCAGACCAAGCCTGATCCTCAATCAGCCCTGAGCACATCAGTTGAGCACAAACCACAGTGCTGCCGAAATACACTTTGGTCTGGATCAATACAGGCCTCCCTTGGGCTCTTGTGCCTGATCCCCCCTGGTGTGTCATGTGACTGAGTGGCAAGACAGGCCTGATTTTCTAAACAGCCCTCGCCTCATCCATTGTTCTCCACTGTATGACCAGCAGCTCTTCTGTTTATTATCCAGACTTTTGTCCAAAAAGTGAGACAAATATTCAGTCAGTAGAAAGTTGAAAGTGTCTGTACTCCAATAGCGAGGGACTGATGCACGTCCAATGATTGATATCCAATTTTTGAACGTTCCACCATGATCCATTGGTGCACAGTTTGGGTTTACGAAAAGATCAGGCACCAAAATCCTTAAAGTGGCCCGCAATTATCCTCAAGGCTATCAAATGCATTGGACCTGCTCTCGGTATGATGTTTTCTCATTATGAATTCCCTTCCGAAGTGATCACCGCCGTATTTAGCAGGCCTCCTTATGAGCGAGAAGTCATCGGGTGTAGTCGTTCGCAGGTAAATTTTATGGTATGCGACTCCATCGCCGTCAACCACGGCTAGAGAGAGAATAAATGATAATTAAATTTACAAAGCAATCAGAATTAATCGTGTACCATCTCCCACAGTGATTACACACCTCCACCTCCCCCCGCGCACACATATGCTCATTTACTCACCAGGCCAAACCTGCGCCTGTTTTCGTTCATACGTTACCTCTCTCGCCCACTCCCTCTCTCTTTCCGTAAATGATTTTGTATACTTACGGCGAGACTCATTAGTCACCCCTCCCTTCCGCGGCTTAACTAGAAAGCGATTAGAATGCATGTTAACACAGTCCCAATGGCTGCTCCTGCTCGCTTCTCTACGTCCACACCACACTGCTTTACCTTCAGCACTGCCTCCTGCTGCCTCTCTGTGAGATCTCCCCTTCTCTCCCCTCTACCTCTCTCTTCTGTGGCTGCAGCCTCTCTCTCCTTTCCTCTCTCTCTTTCCCTTTCCTCGTCCTCTCTGCAGCCTCTCTCTCCCTTTCCCTCGCTCCTCCCTCTCTTAGAGCTGTAGGCTGCTGGGGGTTTTAGATGGATCACTCTCACAATGCCTGATCAATACAACTATTGATCGGCTGGCAAAATGTTTATAAAATCATCCTGGGCAACTGGAGCGGCGGGGTGGAGAGGAGGAGCGCGAGTGAGGGGAGGGCCGTGAGGGCGATGCCATTCGGCCAGGGTAGAGGAGGCAGCGTACCCCTGATTGGTCGCTTCTCTGCCCGCCTTGCCAGGCAACTAACGGGGTACGTTGTTCTGGCACAACGCTCCTGTGGCGCTCTGCCGAACTTTCCAGCCACACAAGCCGTCACCGCCACTGCAGCAGCAGCACTGTTTTTACTGCACGCCGTTGGCTGCCAGCCAAACACTGACAGCACCCACCCCCCGACATCCCCCCTCCCAGGAGTCAATAACCTTCATTTGCATAAATTAGCAGGCGGCAGGCAGTGCCAGGCTCTTAACGAGTCAGTGTCATGTCATGTCGTCCCTCCTCCCCTCACTCACTTCCTGCTACACGAGGACACGTGTACTCCCGGCCCACCTGCTTTGCAGGTTCCCTTTTGCATGGAATACCCTCTGGACCCTTCTCCATTTCACCGGCTCTCTGTGTGGCTCCTGGGACCCTGCTCCCACTATATCAGCATTATCAAACAACACGTCCCCACAGATCCCCCTGCTCCTGTGTGAGCTTGTGCTGAGAGATCTCAGACTAAAACACATGCTGCGTGCTGCCCTTGTCCCTGAGCACATATGCTGGGATCTTACTTTTCTGAATAGTGCTGCGGTTCCTGCAGACAGTTTTCCCACCTCGCACTTAGAGATGCTAACCACAGCAAACCTAGTTAATCTTTTCATCAAGCGCTCCATTCATGATGGAGAAGGATTCGTCCTTGACATCCCTGCAGTCGTGACAATAAAGAATCATTAGCATTCATCAGTCATTCATCAGTGTTTGAGGAATAAATCTAATCTGCTGTTCTCATAAAGATGGTAGAAAGATACCTAGAACAATTAAACTGTTGCATCAGGCTCTGCTGATGCTTAAAATGTAGCAGCAGCTTCCTCATAGCACAGAAATGTTTAGAAAGCCCACAGGTTATAGCTATAAAAGTTTTCAGAAACAAAATATAACCGTTCCATTTGGTGTATTAAGTAGGGTTTGGTATCTTTAGGCACCACACATTTTCATTTCAGGTCACAATCTCATTCCAAAATGATTCTCAGTGCAATTCAGTTTTTCAGCATAGATGCAAATCTTTAACAAGTCGAGGTCTCTTGTTGCCAAATTCTGTGTACAGATTCTGCATAACAGCTGTGCTAAAATATGGCCAACCCACCAGCAGAAATGGAAGTGAGTTTAATAACATAGCATTGAGTCTGTAGCGTTCATTCTGATTGAAGTCTGGATCAGATAACTTTATCGTTTTGTCAATCAGTTAGTGTCTTGTTTTCTGTGGCTGTGCATAATAATCAACTATTAAACATTTAATATATTGTTAAAACATCTATATATGCCACTACTGCTGTGGTCTCTGTGTTGTTTTGGTTTTGTCATTTGTCATGCACCATAGGGCACTTACCTGTGTCTGTAATATTTGTTCTTTGTTTTATTTGTTAAAGAGAAGATAATTAAAGATAATTATTAATAAATAATGTCTATTTCTGCCATATGTATATATCAAATAATGTCATTTTTTTGGTCATTCATTCAATGTCAATCATTAGTTTGATATGAGACTGTTTGATAAACAACCACAGTATATCTGTGATATCCTCCAAATCGTTTAGCGATCCTACTGCTGCGTCTGTGGCACTTGCCTTAAAACACTGTATTTGATAGCCTAGGGCAAAGTCACATAGGTCAAGCCATCAAGTGGAGTCTGTTTAATTAAGGTGGTGTTTTTAATTAACCATAAAAGTTACTTATCTCCCCAACTAATTGGAGCATAGATGGTCTCAGCATCAGGTCTGTTCTGAAATACTAACCCTGCTGAAATGTATTAATATTAGCATAAACTGCCTAAGAATATGATAACTA